AAGGAGCTGGGGATATAGCTCAGTTGGTAGAGCGCTTGCCTCACATGCACAAGGCCCAGGGTTCAATCCCTAGCACTGAAAATAATAATAAATAAGATGTCTGCTCTCACCATTTTTGTTCAATGTAGGTTCTAGCCAAGGCACTTAAGCAAGAAAATGAAAGATGTCAGGATTGGAAGGAAGAAGTAAAAAATCTCTACTTGCAGATGACATGATTTTGTATACAGAAAGTCTTGACACATGAATAATTATAGCTATTAAACAAATTTAGTGAGATTGCAAGAAGCATGATGAATACACAAAATCAGTTACATGTCTACAAACTAGCAATGAAACCAAAACAATTTCATTTATAATATCAAAAAAATAAAGTACCTGGGAATGAATTTAACAAATGAAGTACAAGATTTATGCACTGAAAACTATAAAACATGTTGAAATTATAGAAGACCTAAATAAATGGAAAAAAACCCTATATCTATGTATTGGAAAACAGTATATTGTTGAGATGGCAATAATCCCCAAATTATTAACAGAGTCAATGTAATTACTATCAAAATTCCAGCTGGCACTTTTAACAGAAATTAACAAGTTGACCTTAGAATGCGCATGGAAATGCAAAGGACAAAGAGGAGTGGGGGGATAAAGTTAGAGGATTCATACTTCTCAACTTGCTTCAAACAACAGTTATCAAAACTGTGTAGTGGCATAGGACTGATATTCAGATCACTGGAATAGACTTGAAAGTCCAGAAATAAATTCATGTTTATGGGCAACTACTTTTTGACAAGGATAACAAGAAATTAAATAGAGAAAGAATAGTCTTTTTTTTAAAAAAAAACCCTTAGTGGGCATGTCGAAGCACACCTGTAGTCCAGCTACTCAGGAGGTTGAGGCTGGAGGATGCAAAAGAACGAATTTGGAGTCCTACCTCACATCGTATACAAAAATAACTCAAAATATATCAAAGACCTAAGGAGCTAAAACTCCTAGAAGAAAACAAGAATTAAATCTTTCTGACCTCAGAAAAGGCAATGATTTCTTAGATATGACATCAAAACCCCAAGAAACCACCTGGGTATGTCTCACTTTCCTTCCCAGGAACCCACTTTTCCCTGGCATTGGTAATAGGTAGACACTCAAGCGATCAGCCAGGACAGTGATCCTCGAACTTATTTGACTAAGAAAAGGACAAGTCTCCAACCGTTAGTGGAAAAGACAACCAGGGTCTGGTCCAGCCACAAAGCAGTATTAGTGGGCAAACTGGAACAGGAGGCTGGATCTGCAAATCGTCCCTCCACCACTCCCCCTCACCTCCTTCCTCCAGCATACTGGTCCCACCTCACGCCACCGGCTGCCAGCAATTCCCTGATGTCAGCGTCACTGCACGTGAGAAAACGACAAGCAACCTGCAACCGGCTACCCGTCCGAGCTCAGGAACCCTGGACACCAGCGCTGCAGACGCTGGCGCTCCATGGCGACAAGCCTGACCAGCAGCGCTTCCGGTCATGCGATATGTTCCCCACCCCGCCACCGGACTCCATTTCCCAGAAGTCTCCGCCAGGCGCTATTCCTGGCCAAACCTTTCCTCTCCCCAGACGCCAAATATGTGACCCGCACTGCCTCCTTCCCAGACCGTCTTCCGCCTGTCCTTGCTCCCAGAATCCATCACCCAGAATGCTTTTATGTTGCACATCCCTCAGGTGCACGGGCATCCAGTTTAAGGGGACTCTGGGACAGGAAGCGGGTTGGCTGTCGAGGATTCTGGGAACGGCGGTGTAGCGCAGACGCAGACGTTCGCTGGAGCAGGGCAACGTCCTTGGTGGTGGTGGTGGTGCGTCGGTTCTGGGCCCATCTCCAGCCACCTTCATGGCGGCCTTAAGCCGTACTTAAAGTCTGAGAAGGGTCAAGGAAAGGGCCCTTCAGTCTGAACAGGGCAACCCCCCCATGGGGCGGTGTCCTGGAACCCTCCAAGTATAGGAATTTGTCCGCGAGCGGGAACGTCTTGTCATTTCAGACACATTCGCTAGTGTTTGGTCGGCCCTGTTTCAGGAGATTCCCGAATAGTCTGCCCCGTCAGGACTTTCCCAGCGCCTGGATGGAGTGTCCTCCTAAGCCCGTTGGGGATTTGTCAAACGATTTTTCCGATGACCAACTCGGTCTTAATCCTTTTGCCTTTAAGAAGAAGGGAATGGAGTACTGGAAAGCAGAAGCAAGTGTGGACGTCCTGAGACCTCTTTTTCAAAGTCAGCAACCTCTGGTCCTCCCTTTTGTCACCCGCTTCCACTTTAAAGGACCATCCTGGTTATACTGTGTCCACACAGTATAATTTTTTTTCCCCTGAGGCTGGGGATTAAATCTTTGTGCATGCTCCGACCCTAGCTGAGGAGAATTTTAAGATCAGCTGGTTGGCGACCTTAATTTCATCTGCAACTTCAAATTCCTTTTTGCAACATAACCGATTTATAGGTTTAGGGTCTAGGACATGGACATCTTTGGGATTGTCATTATTTTGCTGTAACCAAAGTCCCACCAATGGCGGGATCCTCATGTTTTCTCAACTAGTCTGCTATTTATGGAGCCATCTCAGCTGTGTATCAGCCTAGCCAATCCAGGAGAAGCCATAAAGGACAGTGGAAAAAAGATCAAGTTGGGCAGAAACAACACACAGCCTGCCATGTCATGCCTCTCTACCTGGCATTCCCTTTCCTGGGCACCTCTGTTGCCTTCTGGTCTGTACTGGCCTGTTCCTCTACGGTTGAGGCATGGCTCAAAACCTTTCCTTTGAAGCCTCTGCAAATTCTCCAGGCATAGAACCATCATCTGTGTAAACCAACACCTTACCTGTGTCATTGGACCTTCCCTAGGCCCATTTCTCCCAAAGTTGCTCCCTAAAGACCAATAAGGGTCTTGGTCATTTCATCTGGTGTCAGGGGAGGCATCTCCATCTCCCAGTGAAAGCCTTTTAATAGTGGGCCTTTGACACACTGATAGAATCCTAATGCTCATATATGGACAGCATGTATGCACGCTTGAGGCAGTGTGACAGCTGCAGCAGACGATGTCCGACCAGACCCTATTGAGTTCCTCCCTTAGCTGAGGAAGACTCAGGTGTAGGATGACCTAAGCCCTTCTCAAGCATCCTTCAGGGTGAGATGGTTTCCCTTCCCCGAGGCCTTCTGTGGGTGTCTGAGGAACATGTTTGGAAACAGTCTGAGAGCCATAATCTGTGCCCCGGCCTGCCTCACCCGCTTCTTGCTTTGTTTAGAAAGCAAGATGAGCTTTGGAGCTGTAGCCTCTGCCCTGGTAGGAACTGGAGGCTGTGTCTTTGTTCAGACCACAGTGAAGACGGCATCAAACCTCATCCAGTGGCCACAAGATACAATAGGTGCTAATTCATAATGGTTGCTAGTCTACAGATTTCCTGCCATTGTCTTGCAATCCTACCCATGGCCACTGAAAGGTGGAGAGAGTTTCATGCTCTAGATGATGCAATTCCTCCCATGGTCACTGAGGGGTGGTGGGCACTCCAACCCTCCATTTTGGTAGAAGCCAGGATTTATCTGGGAGTTATTCTGGGGGTGGGAGTGGAGAGGCAGTAATGGGTAATGGACATTGATAGACAGTGCATATTTCTACCCTGGGCTGGGTAAATCAGTTTCTGCTATACTTGGCCCTAGGATGTCCATCAGTCCTCTCCTCTGTGGTCCTGTTTCTGATGGTGCTGGCCAGGGCTCCTAAGGGAAACATACAGGACTGACTGCTGGGTCTGGCTCTTGGTCTCCTAACTCATATTCTGATGGGAAGGTTACAAAAGAGCATGTGGGCCCACAAGTCATTGGCACCTATAAGTGGATGCTGGTGGTGTGGGTAGGAGTTGCCGAGAAGGCAGGGTAGGAAATAGAATATGAGAAAAAAGTGCGTAAAGATTTCAAATGTCCCTTTATGAGGCACTCTGTGGATCTCACATTGGCCTTACATGCAGATCCTCCCTTCCCCACAGCTACACACCCAGCCCTTTTTATTTCTACTTTGAGACAGGGTCTAAGTTGCCCAGGCTTGCCTAGAACTTGAAATCCTCTTGCCTGTGTCTCCTGAGCAACTGGGATTATAGGTGTGTGCCATGATGTCTGTGTCATGTTGGCGTCCCCAAAGTTTTGGATTTCAGAACTCAGTAGCTCTACCACTGAGCCACAGTCTCAGCCCGATATTGCTATTCTTGTTGTTCATAAATGCAAACATCATGGGCTAGTTCTCAACCTGTACTATTGTTACTGCCCTGAGATTCAAAGAACAATCAATCTAGTTGTAGCCCAACTAACCACTGTAGGTATTGGGAATGCAAATGTAGACAGTAGGTGTTAGTGCAGAAGGTGTTCTTGCCTACATGTGTGACTCCTTCTGAAAGCTCCAGGGGTTTTTGGATCTTGCCACAGCAGACAGAAATCCATGTTCTTATGCCTTGCTTCACACACATCACTGAAAATAGAGTCACTGCCTTGGCATCTTCTGGAAACTGACCCTGGAGTCTTGCCCTTCCACCCTTCTGCCTGCACACAATGACCTTCTATTCCCCTCGAAAAGGCTTCTGTCCTCTGGCTTATTACAGGACTTACTGGGAGATGCCCAGGCTTACACATGCTTGAGCCATGATACCTGGAAGGTAGACAGAGAAGTGGTGCAATGAAAAGAATGGTTTAGTGACAACAGAGAGCATGAGTACCAGGAGAGAGTTTTCAAGATGTGAACCAAAATCTTAACAGGTTATCTTTGGAAAGGGGCAACTGTGAATATTTTATTTATCTAAATAAATAAGTTAATATTTGTAAAGTGCTTAGAACAATACCTAGAAGATGGTTAACTACTATAAAATAATTTATATTAAGTAAATGTTTCCTGCAATAAACATGCATTACTTAGACAATGAATAATACAAGTCACTTGTAACAAGATTTTGGGGTCCATTAAAGTCAAAGAGAACTTTTTTTCAAATTCAACAGGATTTGATGGCTAATGACCAAAGACACTGCCCAAGAAAGAAGCCAGAAATCACCTCTTAAGTGACAAGGGTCTGGGTGGCTGACCCAAACAGGTGAATACACAGGATGTTCTAGGCAGGGCCGAGGGCTTGGTTTATGTAAGTAACGGCAGCCCTCATCAAACCGGGCTCATGCAGAGGTCATGACCTGATTTGTGTCAAATTTTTATTTGGCAGACAGTCCTTCCTGATAATGCAGCTCAGTGAGAAGAGCAAGCAGATGCTTGGACCCAACCTCCAAAAGCATCTTCCACGGAAAACAGAAGCTGAGAGGCCCCTCCTCTTCTCTTGCTGCTTTAGTACCATGGAGACTTGTGTATGAAGGGCTGACCACAGGCCTGAAGACCTCCTCAGATGTTCCTGAGCCCACAGAGCAGCAGCAGAAACTGGACCCAGAGGCTGGCGAACCTCCCAGCCTGGGGAGCTGGGCCATGAGAACTGGATGGGAAGGAGGACCCTGGAAACCCAGGTTCCAGGGGCTCTGGTCCTGGGTGCCAGCTTCCCTGGGCCTGGGACAGTCAGGGGTTCCAGGCTCAGGCTGAGGTCCAGCTTAGAGTCACAGGCTGCTCCACTCCCTCTAAAGCCCAAAGCCAGCCCAGCTAGGAGGGGCCACCACTCACAGAAAGGGGCTGTCATCGCCCCTCAAAATGAGCTGTGATTTGTTCCAAAGTCTTTCCTTTGGTTTCAGGGACCCAGAACAAAGTGAAAAGGACACTGAAGATGCAGAAGGCAGAGGCAAGCCAGAAGGCTCCGTATGGCCTGAGGACCTCCTGTAGAAAAAGGAAGGGCCACAGGTGCACGTGGCGTAAATTAGGATCTCACTCCCTCCCTGCAGTCTGGACACTATCCTGCCCCAAGTCCTGCCTGCTGATGCCCTGCCTATGTGTCTCCTGGCCCCAGTAAGCTCTCTTTTCATGGTGCAGTGGGAATGAGAGAGCATGGCCCCAGGAACACCGGGGACATAGAGGGCTCATTGGCATGGAGGGAGGTATGGGCCCAAGAAAGAAGCCAGAAATCACCTCTTAAGTGACAAGGGTCTCTTTGGTCAGAGTCTGTGACCTTTCAGTGCCAGACCAGAGTCTCTTCCTTTCTCAGCTCCCTATCCTCTGGCACTTGGAAACCCCTCCTCCTCAAGACCCTTCTCTTGGTCTCTTAGACAGCAGACACATTTGAGTCATTATTATATCCTTTATCACTTCCTTCCTGGCTTCTCTCTCTTCCTCCTTTTCTGTCCATCCTCTTGAACATCCAGTGAGTAAGTCCCACCCCAGGCCTCTGCCATGGCCTTCCTAATGTGCTTCCTAGGGCAGCCCTGCCTGAATGAAGACTCCAGGCTACCTTGAGTGTCCACGCCTGTCACCGACTTGCCTCCCTACGCCCCAGTCTGGCTTTCCATCACCACCTATCACCTTTCTGGCCATGCCATAAAAAGGGACCTGTCCTTTTCAGCCATTGTTGTTTCTGGTGCCTTCAAAAGGCTGGGACATGGTACATGTCAGGGGACCTGGAGAGAATGAATGACTGAACAAATGACTTGATTATTTGCTCCAGAGTCTCTCTGTTGGCTGGGGAACTGCGGGGCACATCTGTCAGTCTACAAGGAAGAGGAAAAATGTTGAATTGAATCAATTCTCCCATCAACTTTAAGAGGAAGGTATTTTCAGCCAAGGAAGATGGTTCAAAGGTAACAGCATGGACTTGGCCAGGATGGTACTGGAGCCCAGGCCTGGGACTCTTTCTACACAGATCATGAGTTCTTGGCCTCTGTTCCCAATGTTCATGAACTGTCCTTCTGCCAAGGCAGACTGGAGACTTCTGATCATACCCTGGGTTCCTTGACTGCCAGTCCATCTGTCTCCACTGCACCCCTGGCTAAGACTGCTGCTGTCCCAGGTACAGGGAGGCCTCAGCCTGCACATGAGGCCACTGACCCTGAGTCTTTTGCAACAAATTGCATGAAGGGGAGGCCTAGGCCTGCACTCACCATGAGGTTGTTGAACTCTTTTGTCACCAGAAAGGCCATAAGCCAGTTGGTGAGGACACAAACTCCAGTGGCCACGCCCTTAACATGCAGAGGAAAGATCTCAGACATGAGGAGCCAGGGGATGGGCCCCCAGCCTATTGCAAAGCCTGTGGGAGCAAGATAGCATCAGAGCCCACAGAGTCAAGGAGCCCCAGCCTCCCAACCTGTGGGAATGAAGGGTCCTGGAATCCTGGGTCCTCTAGCTCTGTGCCTTCCTGCTGTGAGGTCTTGGGCCAGTTACTTCCTTTCTTAGGCATGAGGCCTGGTATCTATAAGATGGGACAGAGAGGGGCTGGGGTTGTTGCTCAGTGGTAGAGCACTCGCCTAGAACATGCAAGGCACTGGGTTTGATACTCAGCACCACATAAAAATAAATAAATAAAATAAAGGTATTATGTCCAACTACAACTAAAAAAACTATTAAAAGAAATAAGATGGGGGCTGGGGTTGTGGCTCTGAGGTAGAGTGCTCGTCTAGCATGTGTGAGGCCCTGGGTTCGATCCTAGGCACCACATGAAAATAAAATAAATATATTGTGTCCACCTGCAACTAAAAAATAAATATTTTTTTTTAAAAAGAAATAAGATGGGACAGAGATGGGGCCTACTCACAGGTTGTTATGGGGATTAAGTGAAAGGGACACAGAGGGCTTAGTTCAGTGCCTGGCACATGATCAGAGCTTCAGACAGAGACGTAAGGCTAGGTAAGACTGGACTTGCTGGCAGCACAGGCATGGGGACAGTGGCCCTCACCTAGCCTCCCATGGGGCCCCTCTCACCAGCAATGAATAGACACATGCTGCCCACGGCCAACCAGGCCAACCCCACATTGGTATCAACAGGCTCTGCAGGCACAGGCACCAGGAGGTCCACGTGTGAGGAGTTGTTGGAGCCATCCTGGGTCAGCTTGAAGTAGGTGCCAAAGGCACTTGTGCTGAACACCATGACCATACCTGCAGGCAGAAGGCAGGAACAGGCAACGTACTCGGGAAAATGGCGAGAAGGCCGACCTATTTCCTCCGAGCAGCCAGCTGGGCACTCGGGCACCTCGGCTCCAGAAGCACTGACTGGATAGCACCCTGCCACCCTGCCTTAGACCCTGGACCTCAGTAAATTCTGAGAAGTTCCTAAGCAGACACTCTCTGGCCTGTGAAAGCAGCAACAGTAATTATGGCAGCATTTTAATACCACCCAAACAGTGATCTTTGCAATGGCCAGTGGACACCAAGTGTCCACGGGTAGGCTTGCGCTCAGGTCCTCACACATGTAGATTTTCTCTGATCTGCCCAGGAGCCTTGAAGGAGGCAATGCCATTACCCACATTTCACAGAGGCTCAGAGAGGGAAAGTCACTTGCCCCAAAGGACCACAGCTTCTGGGTCATTCTGACCTCTCAGCCCTCAGTTTCTCCAGTGTGAGCTGGGACCATGATGGTGTCTTTTTTTGATTTGTCAAAGAACCTGTAGCTCAGTGAAGAGCTGCCAAATCACAGCCTGGTCTGTCACAGTCTCTCTTCATCAATGCTCAGTGGCATTCAGACCTGTTGGCCAGGGCAAGGGCTTTCCAGCAATGGTGAAGGGATGCTGGCCAGGGCACCCTGTATACACAGAGCAAAGTCCTCACCTGACAAGGCCAGAAGTAGTCTCCGCCCAGCTCTGTCCATGATGAGGGCTGCCACGGCTGTGAACAGCACCTGGATGGTGCCCATGATGACTGAGGCCAGACTGCTGTCCTGGAGGGGATGGAGGCCGAGGCTGGATGGTGTGCCAGCCAGAGATGGGTACCTCCCTCTGCAGTCCTATGCCAGGTGATGAGGCCCTGGGCTTGAGGAGGCAGCCCCATCCATGTGGCATCTGGATAAAGTAGGTCGGGTAGAGGCTTCTTACCTTGAACTTGGCCTCCTCAAAAATGGTCTCTGCATAGAACATGACGGCGTTGATCCCTGACAGCTGCTGGAAGGCCATCAGTGAAATGCCAATGAGGAAGGGCTTGTAGATGCCAGGGTGTCTCAGGAGGGCCAGCTGAAAAACCTGCTTGAGGACAGGAGCCACCAGTGCTCCTCCACCCTGTCCCAAGGGTCCTCCTGGAACCTACCATCCTAAGGCTTGCTGGAGAGGAGTGAGCCTCAGCTTCCTTTCCTGCCTCATCTGGGGCCTCAGGGCAGGTGCAGAGACAAGCCCCAGCATTTGCGAAATAAAATGGTCCTTACCTCCCACAGCTCTTCCTGAATGGTTGGAGGAGTCACAAAGAGATTCTGGTACTTGGGCAAAGAACACTAGTTTCTTGAGTCCCAACCACCTTCAAAGTACCCAGTGCTCACCTTGGGCCTGGCCCTGGCTGAGCACCTCCCATGGCCTGTTGCACGGAATCCTCAGCACAATGAGGCACTGTCCCAAGATACCCATTTTACAGATGAAGAAATCAAGTCTCAGACGGGAAAGTCACAACACGGAAGTGGCAGAGTCTATCTGACACTAAAGCCCAGACTCTTAATCTTCTCCCCCACCCTACAACTCCCTGGTTAAATCCAAGTCCTCAATTCTGCATCTGTAATTTCCTCTGGCCCTTTTCTTCTTGGGACGCTAAGAATCCAGCTGGGATTCAGGGGCTGGGAATGTAGTTCCTCAATGGTACAGTGCTTGCTTTCCATGCACAAGGCCAGCAAACACACACATACAAGAGGAATCCCCAGTGACCTAAGGTTAGGGCCCAGCTAAGTGGGGTGAGGGCCTGCCCAAAGAAAGAACAGCACTGGTCCTCACTAAGGGCAGACAGGCACCCCCTGTAGGTGTGTGGCCTTCGGTACAGGCTGTTTCCCTCAACCCACCTTCCAGCCACTCACCTGGTGCTCAGACTCCACAGAGGGCTCTTCCCAGCCCTGTTCGGAGCCCCACAGGAACTGCAGGGCAGCCATGGCCTCCTGGCGCTTGTGCTGAGTCAGGAGAAAGCGTGGGGTCTCTGGCATGCAGCACATAAGCAGCAGCATAAAAGAGGGGGGCACGCAGCCCAGCACAGCCAGCCAGCGCCACTCCAGGACTCGGCCTGGTGGGGTGCAGACATCAGAGCCAGAGCAAGGCAACCTGCATCCCCCACTTGCCAACCTGATACTCAGCTATAAAGTGGGAATCTTGCTACTCTGTGGGTCATGTTCATTACTGATATTGCCATTCTTTTTTTTTTTTTGGTAGACAAAGGTAGAATGCCTTTGTTTATTTTTATGTGGTGCCAAGGATCAAACCCAGTGCCTCATGCATGCTCTGCAAGCGCTCTACCACTGAGCTACAGTCTCAGCCCGATATTGCTATTCTTGTTGTTCATAAATGCAAACATCATGGGCTAGCTATGGCATTTGGGGCAATGGTGGTAGGTCATTGATATGTACATTCTACATCTCCTCAGTGAAATAGTCCCACGCTATATCATGATGTTTGGTCAATGACAGACTGCATGTATGAGTTGGTCCCATAGATTATAATGGAGCTGAAAACTTCCTATTGCCTAGTGATGCAGTCATGGGAATATCCTATGGTCACGTCTGTGGTGATGCTGCTGTAAACACTGCACTGTCAGCTGTACAAAGGTACAGTACATACAGTTATGCACACTACACAATACTTGATAAGAAATGGTTGGTTTGGGTTTATGATTTGTCACACTATACTTTGAAAATTTTAGAGTATACTCCTACTTAAAAAAAAAAAATCTTGCTGGGCGCGGTGGCACATGCCTATAATCCCAGTGGCTCGGGAGGCTGAAACAGAAGGATCGAGAGTTCAAAGCCAGCCTCAGCAAAAGCGAGGTGCTAAGCAACTGTCTCTAAATAAAATACAAAATAGGGCTGAGGATGTGTCTCAGTCAAGTGCCCCTGAGTTCAATCCCTGGTATATCACCTCCCCCAGCCACGCCACTAAAAAAATTCTTGCTGTAGAACAGAATGCTATTATAGGGCAGCAGTCTCATACATCCTGTGCTTACCAAAGCTCTGGACTGTGTCAAGAGGCCATGCCCAGTGATTGGCCAAGACCATCTAGGATTGTGGGAATACACTCTAGTATGTTTACATAGAGACAATACAGCCTAATAATGCAGTTTTTAAGTCTCTGTTAAGTGATGCATGACTGTAGCCACAAAACAGAATGAGGTGCTGGTTCTTTATGGCCTTGGTATGACACAGCACCATTAGTGTCAAGGGGGTGGGAGAGTAAATGTGCACATTTCTCATAAACACACACAATCTCTGGAGGTCACCAAGAAACATGCCATACTGGCTTCTGCAGGGAGGAACCAGGACACAATGGGGAGACTTTTCACTGAGCAGGCTCTCTCCCTTCTGGTACTTCTTGAGTGGTGAATCACTTGAATTAGTTATCAAAGTATGAGCACAACTAAAGAGGTGGTAGGATTTTGATTCCTTGAAGTAGTTGGGTTATAGGAAGAACAGTACAAATGCAGATTTATCTACATTTAAACAAAGCCCAAGGGTTCTCTGATAAAGGGGCCAGAAATGAATTTAGGGT